TAACTTCTCCTGAATCAAATTTCATTTTTAAAATTTTATATGGAAATTTAAAGTTAAAAAAACAATGTACAGGCTGAATGAAAAACCTATATAAACAAAAAAATGATAAAGGGTTCAACATAAATTTTGTTAAACATATTAAAGTATATTATTTAATTTATATATGGTTAAAAAAGGTTCATTTTAAGTTTACAATATTGTCTTTGTCTATCATTATTAAAAGTTTCCCAAGATGATATGGTCTAAAGATTTTGATAAAATATTTTCCTATATATGAATATAATTAGCTTTTTGGCATTTAAGAACTATGGATTAAGGGTTCAACAAATTTTGTTAAACATATTGAAGTATGTTTTATTAGTGGTTAAAAGGGGGTAGGTTATCTTAAAAATTTAAGCTTACAATATTGTCTATCATTATTAAAGTTGCCCAAGATGATATGGGACAAAGATTTTGATAAAGTATTTTCCTATTATGAATATAATGAGGCTTTTTGGCATTTAAGAACTTATGGACTGAGTTAAATGATACAAAAAATACTTTCAATTCAAAATATATTATTAAAAAAGTCCTAAAAATGTTGTCAAGAGGATTATATAATCAAGCTCAAACTGAAACTATAATACTAATTGATTAGATTTAACATATTATAATAAAGAAATAATAGAATAGATATTTATTTTTCTTTTGGTGAAACATTGCTAAGTCAATACAAATAACATTGAACTGGATGTTTTAATTATATTAAAGAAAGTCAAAATACATTATAAAGGCTTAATTATTAGTTATTACACTTCCATTTATTATAAATACTCTTCTTTTGAAAATTAAACTAATATAATAGTAATATTAAAAAATAAATGCCTAATTATTATATATAAATAACAAAACCAAGATTAACTCTTCATCAAATATTTTATTAATTATACTGTATCTAATAATTCATTTTTTTTTATAAAGAATCTGTATTTAGATTCTATTTCTGTATGACCTGCTCAACTCAGGAATGTAATAAATTAAATTTAAACATGTTTACATTAAGATTATCAAATAAAAAAAAATTAAAAGAATTACTTGTAAATGTCTCTTTAAGTTCGAGGATGATATTTTGGAAGATGATATTATCTTCTTACAGAGACGGCATTCGGTGCTGATCATATTATAAGAGTTGCTTTCATCCATTTCACATAAAGTAAAATACTTACGTAATTTCAAAAATGGTAAAAGATTCTCATTCTCACTTATATCTGCTGTTACATCAATAGTAGAAGCAATAGAATCTTCTAAATCTATAATGGTCATTTACATTTACCTTTTAAAATAAATATTAATATATTAATATATTATTATAAATTTATATTAAATAACTTGTAAGAGCTCTAAATCTCGTAAAATTTAGGAAATAAATAAATAATAAATATATCTATAAAATAAATGGTGGAATGGAAGTTGATAATGGAAGTTGATAAAATATGAAGATAGATATTTTTTTTAAAAATAATATTTTAATTTAATTTTCAAAATTTTTATTTTATTTATTGCTTTTTAAGTAAAAAATTAATTTTTAAAAAGATCGGGATCGAATTTTAAACAAAATGATCTCGATCTCGATCCTCAATTTAAGTCAGAATCATAAATCTCGTAAAACTGACAAATTTGCGATCGAATCCAGGATCGTTGATCTTTTGATTCGATCTTTTAACAACTCTGTATACTCTTACCAACAAGAATACCTACCGCACATGTTACAATTAATTTTATTTGTATATAATTATAAATATTTGAATACTTAATTAAATTTATATATATTAAAAAGAGAAATTCAATTATTTTCTTAACTTTAATGATGTTCATTGATTTTTCAACTCTCACGACTTAATAATCTTAAAAAAAATAAAGATGGACTCTTGATCATATAAATCTTGCAAAGCATTATTAAAATATTATTCTAAAACATAGATTCTTATTAATCAGTTAGGTTTTATACCATAGATGTTTCTATATTATATTATTAATAATTTTAAATTCATGTCATAAAATCTTTTACTTTAGATTTAACGGGTCAAAAACATTGGAAGATATTTATATCAAAATCTCTTAGCCCATCGGTGGAATTTTAATTGCGTGAGATTTCGAAATCTCATAGATCACCTACACACGTTACCCCGGGCCAGTTTTTTTTAAAATCCGGGCCTAGCCATGCAAATGGTACATCTTTCCGATATATTTACACTTCTAAATGAATCATGAACTATTGCTGTATATTTTATTTCAAAAAAAACGCGTTGGTCTCTACGTTATAAAAAAGGAACGCATTAATCGCTACTCAAATAAAAGTAACGCCTTCGCATAATGATTATAAGACTATTATTAAAACGTATGTAGGCTGATTAAAAAAATATCAAATTATACACCCTTCCAATAGAAAATAGGGCTTTATGTAAAATCTTTTATTTATAAAATAAAAAATATAACTATTTCTAAATGTAAAATATAATTATATATTTATAATGTGTTAAAACTTTTCTTTTTATAAGATTATCATTTGAATATAATAATAACAAAATAAAAAGTTAGTTACGAATTTAAGGTATTTTATTAAGGTTAAAAAAATATTTCAAAATAAAGAATAGTAACAAAATGATAAGTATTCTTATAAATACAAAATAATAATATTAAAGCTAATATAAAATTATAATATTAACCAGCAAAATAACATTTCATAAAATTATATAATATCTAAAATTTGATATTGTACACACTCATAAATTGAATTTATATTTAATTAATTATGGAACTGAAGGATTGATTTTAATATTAAATTCCTTTATATATATTATAATGTAAACAAGTAAATTCTATTGGTTGGAAATATTGAACGAATAACTTTATACAATTAGTAGTTTGAATATATCCAGGGGCGTCGCTGGCCTTTACAATCTCAGGGGGCTCAACTAAAAAAAAATTTTTGATTTTCATATTTTGTCATTTATTATATTATGCATACAAAATAAACTGGCATATAAAAAACCACATAATGCAATAATAAAATTCTTAGCAACTTACATTGACAAAAGGTTATCAAACTAGTATAACTCTCTGTTACCATTTTAAACAATGTTTTATACAATAAACTAATAAAGAAAAATTTTATAGGCCTCTACCAAATCAACAATTTTTGAAGAAAAGGGTATAAACGACATCCAAATCATAAAACTATATGGTGGTTAGAGCTTCCTTTTATATGACATGATGGAAGCTAGATAAGTAATCGAGAAAATTATCGTGAGATAATAAATTTCTAAAAGATTAACATCCATTTTAAATGATATATTACCGACTACACAGTTGACCATTATTGTTTATCTAAAATATTCAATCATCAGCCATTGTTGTAATAATCTTAAATTACATAGAAACACAAATAATATACACTGGTTAATTTGCAGTAATAGCCATGACACTCACGATGAAAACTTATATCAGAATTTATTATGTTGGATAAATTGATAAAATAAAAACACTATTTGAAAGAAATAATTATTCAAATATATTGCAGTCTGAGTTATTTACATACAGCAATGTCATAATAGAAAGGAAACATTTTCTAAATATGAAATAAGGACCAGAATGATATGATGAAACAATTATGATTTTATATATTGTCGATATTATATCTTAAAATAATAGTAGTTTGTAATAATATCAAAAATATACTTGTATTAAAAAAAATAATTCAAAACTGTTTTTCGAAAAAGAAAAATATAGAAAAGAGAAGAAAAGATATCAATATTACATCTATATCAGGATGAATAATAAAATGTCTAATTTTTTAAAATTATTTATAACTAAATAGATAGCGTTAAAAACTTGAATGCATATTGTTACTATATTTATTATCAAAACCATTTATTAGTAAAATTTATTATAATATTAACTGTAATGTATTATAAAGTTGTCAAATACGTCTATAAGTGGCATTTTATCTAATATTTTATAACCAACTGTATATAATAGAGGATTATAAACTATATCTCTATTTATTTACTTTTTATAAAGTAATCTCTCATACTTATTTGGATCTTGAAAATATTTTTAGGAATAGGTATGATAATTAAATTTAAAAATAAATATACAGTTGATTAGTCATTTTGAACTCGGCTAATTACAATATTAAATTTGTTAATTTTGAAATAATATATGATTATATCTATTTAATTAGGGTTACATAATAATTTAAATAATAAAAGTCAATTAAACTTCAACTGTTAAAGCTAAATTAATATTTAGTGGGTTAATGATATTATATTTTTAATACAAAATTTGATTGCAAGCTAGCATAGTGAAAATATAATTTATATGTATTAATCTAATCTAATAATTAAAATAGTATTCATTTAATAAAAATTTAAATATTCTTATTAATTTCTAAATAATAAAATTAAATCTATATATTACTTAATGGAATTATAAAAGAAATCATTCAAGGAGCTATCAAAAAAATTTATTTTTAGTTCAATGAGATATTAAGGAGCCATTAAAAAAAAAATTTTTTATTTCAGGGGGCTCTTCAAATTTTTCAGGGGGCTCGAGCCCCTCCGCGCCCCCTCTCTCTAGCGACGCCATTAAATATATCTAATGTTGAAGGTATCTATAAATTATATATAATTATTAATCATATGGCCATCGCATCTTATAATTTACAAATTAACCTTATTCGCTCAAGCTGTTTCTCGAAAATTAAAGTAACGAGTAACGTTTTATTTTAAATTTATTAAATTAATATATGAAGTAATAAATATATTGCTTTACATTTTATTGGGTAATAATTTACAATTAAATTAATGCTATACAAAAGTTATAATAATTATAAGAAAGAACATTCTATCTATTAAACGCATGGATATATTCCCCGGTATTTTGTCGCATTTTGTTTTTAGGTCTAAGTAGATCTAATAATGACAAAATGTCAGGTTTTTTCCCCATTTTAGCGATTATGCTAAAAATGAATTAAAACTGTTAACATAATTTTGACCATATTTCTGGGTTTCGAGAAAAAATATATTGAATGCACACTGCTTTTGATTGTATTCCAATACTCGATAAACTAGCATCTCAAATCGAAGTTCTAGTAGGATATGGTATTTAATATAAGATAAAATTGTTTATTAAATGTTCAAAGATAATGTAATTTTATTTGGAACAAAGCAAGGGCATCTCTGGAAATATCATATTGATTGTATTAGCATTATGTTTTACATTTTTAATTTTTCATTTAGATAATAATGATTTAAAATTAACAGATACTTACAACAATTTCACTAAAAAAACTTTATCACAAGTATCTAAAATTTTGTTATTAAATGATGAATATTTATTTTAGCTTCATGTTGATACTCATCATAAAATACTCATATATTTATCTGGTTATATTTATTTTAATTATATATTTACTATAGTAACTATTATAGACAATATGATTAATATATGTGACTTGGAAACATTTGAAAATATATCAACTTTAAGTAAAACCAAAGGTGCTTCACAATTTTCTATTGATTATTGGGTAAAAAAAATTAAATGATTATAATAATTTAGTTGTATAAGTTATTATTGAACACAGGTACTAATGTGACTGCACAGTTATCATTTTGTGTTTTAATAAAAAAAAGACTCATATTTTATCAATGGAAAAATAAATATCCAGTAGAATATTCTGTAATTTACAATATTTATAAAATAAATCATATTTGTCATCCCTTTTTTAAGCAAGAAGCTACTTTACCTGAAATACCAAAGACTTTTATTTGGTTTAAAGACTCAATTATTTTTGCAACCAAATCAGAATATTTTACTTTTGCAGTAAATTACAATTTTAGGCATATTTTATTATTAACTGTAGATAAATACAGGATTAGTTAAAGAACTTTTTCCTGCTGGTAAAAATGGAGATCCTAAGATATGTGCAATGTTTTTACCATCCTCTAAAATATTACTAAGTATTATATATAACCTTAATTTTAATGAAACCAAAATTTAATATATATTAAAAACATGACTAATTATCCAATCTATCTTTATTTTAAAATTATAATTTTTAAAACTTTAAGGGATAAAGCAAAACAGGAAACCAAAAATCCATTATAAATCACTAATTTGACAAAAATATACAAAATTAAATAACTTTAGGAAAGTCTCAACAAATAATATATTAGTCAACAAAAATAATATAAATAATAGTGTATGATATGAATTAGAGCACTGCAAAATTCTTTTTTTGCCCCAAGCTAATTTTATTTTAAACCCAATCTAACCCAAAAATTTTATTTTCTAGCCTGGCCTTAAATTTCAAATTGAAAAATATAAATCTAATTGAGAGTTTAATTAATATTTTATTTTTATAAACAATTTTTGCATATTTTTTAAATCTGAGCTTGACACTGTCTAAAATTTGAATCTAATCTTCCCAAATTAATTTTAAATTTAAGCCTGAATTTTAAGCCCCAAGCTTGACTTTGGGTAGAATTTCAGGATTTAGAATGAATTAAATATTTTTGAATTTGACAAAAAATAATATTTATTGTGTTTGTAAAAATAAGTTCATAAACTATATTTTCCCTATTTTTTTTGTAGTAGTACTATAAAATATATTGGTAAATGATGACAAATATAATTAATAATCTATATATTAGGGAGATATCCCCCCCCCTAACATTGCTCTTATTAGTGATCTGCATCGGGCCTAATTTTTCAAGCCCGGCCTGGCCCGAAATTTTTTTTAAAAAATTTTCCCGGCCTGGCCTGAACTCAAAATTTATTTTAGAAAAATTTACTGGCCCAGCCAGGCCCGAATTTATTTAAATATAGAAATTAATTCTTATAATTACTTAAAATAAAAGACATATGTTATATAGCGTTTAGTTTCAATAAATTAAATCAAAAATTTTTATTTTACATAAAGAATTCAATTATAAAATTGATAAATTTAGATATATTTAATAAAATTTCCAAGGTCCGACCCGACCCGGCCTGAATTTTTTTTAAAAATATTAGGCCCGGCCCGAACAGGATTATTTTAAATGGCAGGACTCGGGCCGGGCCTAACTTTGCAGATCTCTAGCTCTTATTACAAATAATTCTCCAACTGTTTAATCAATCCATGAATTTTATAACATTGTAATTTAAAAATATATTTATCAAATGATTCTAACAGTAGATACTTCGAATACTATTTTTTTATTACCGATGTTTCGAATACGATTTTTTAAAAATAGTTTGAAGATATTTTAAATCGTATACCATTTTTAAATTGCTGATATTTTTATATTGCGAAAATTTCTGACTAATATTATATTGTGGATATTTCGAATAAGATTCATATTTTGTATTGAGGGTAATTCGGATCGAATACTATTTTATATTTAGGATAGGGATACTATTATTCTATGCAGAGATTTCTGTATAATATTTTTATATTGCAGAAATTTCGGAGATATTTAATTCATCTCCTTAAATTTTGTGGAAATTTTGTTTTTTTAGATTATAAACTATCAAAAGCGATATTTTAATTGATTTTATCCATTATTAATTGCTATGTCGGTTATTTTTATTAATTATTGGTTTTTTATTCAGGATCTCGACATTTTGTATTCAATACAAAATTTAGCTTATTTTTAAAATAATAAATTCCTTTTTGCAAATTTCAAGATAAATTCATTCTAAATTCTAATTCGATTTATTTTCTTGAAAGGTGGCATAAAACTCTGTTTATAAGATATAACTAGCCATATACAATCTCTAGGGAGGTGGGGGGCTCAAAAGCTTTACGTTGGTCATATTCGTTTAAAATCGTTTTTTATTAAGTTTTTACATTGTTATTACTTTATAATTTTATCCTATTAATACGTCGCCGTAGGAAAGTCAATAAATAAGACTTTATTTGTCAAAGAAATTGTATAAAAAACTGTATGAAATACGTATTTTAGATTGTCGACGTTTTACAAAAATACCTATTACTAAAATAATGTTTTGATTTACTACATATCCTCAACTTTTATTCTCATTGTAACCTGGGCTAGAAACAATTTGAGTTTGTATAACTATGAAAGGTTCCTGTTCTTAAAATTTAAAAAATGGAGTTTGGTTCACAGATTTAATGCAGTTTGGAGGATTTTAGGCTCTAGTTTCAATTCCAAACTGTTAATAAAAGCTAGGGAGGGTTGTGCATTTGACTGATTAACTACGATTTGGTCAATTGACAAATATTTGACCGGTCAAATATTATCAAATACGGTCAAATATGGTCAAATTCAAATAAATGTTTTTTATGACAATATTAATTTTATTTTTTATATAATAGTAAAATGAATCTAAAATATTTTTTAAATTCACTCATTCAATAACTAATGTTTCACTCTTCGTGGCAGAGTCTTGTTCTGATTCATATAGCATATTATCATTTTCGTTAATATTGTTTAATCAATTTTCCTGTTGTCGAGATCTTTGATCGATTTCTGTTTTAGTAAGAATATAACCCATATCAACCAATTTTCTGAAGAAGTAGAACAAGGAATTGTTAGTAAAATAACACTTCTATTAATAGGTATGGTGAGCAAAGCCTATTCCACTAAGTTGAGGCCGGAATCTGATTGCTCCTTATGGAAATTACTGCCTTCCACATAACTTGGTATTAAATGTACAGTTTTTACTTCTGAAATTTATGATATCACTTGAAATATTTTGATCATCACCACCTTGCAAAATACCTAATTCTTATATTATATCATATATTTCTTAAATTTAATATTAGATGCTATCCTTGATATTGGAAACTCAATAAATAAGCAGCAGTGTGATCACATGTATTTATTACTTTTTCCTTAGAGTATTTGACCGTATTGGCCAGGTCAAATACTCCTCCGGTCAATTGACTGGCTTGCAAACCCTGATAAAAGCAATGTGTTTTTTCAAGGGATTTAAATAAATCAACCCTCTATGATGAATCACATTTTTAACAAACAACATGTTTATATATTTACTAGCTAATAACCCGTCAAGAATGACGGGGTTGAGGGGTAATTAGTTTGTATATATGGTATTAAATATACTTTATTGATATATTTTATAAAAATATTAAAATTTAGGGGAAAATGAGGTAAATTTGTGTATCACACCTCACCTCATAAGATATTCTTAATTTAAAGTATGATGACCCGTCTTTCTTGATGGGCAAAATGAAAAATATATAACTAAAAGTACCAAAGCTCCCGTTAGTCAGCATTGCTGAGCCTGTCAAAAATGACGGGGAATGAGTTTTCCTTACTCTTATGATAGTTGTTATCTTTTATTTAAAAATAATATCCAATTGTTATTATTTTATAACCCCCTCCCTCCTTCAGGCCAGGTCCAATCCATTAAAACTAAATGTAAATGCTATGTTTTGAGTCAAAATATATTTAAAGCTTTTACTTAATACCCATATCAATATTATTTGTTAAAATACTACTGATCACCTATGCCTAATATTTAATATTGAAAATATTTCCCCAACCCCAACCAAAGATCATAATAATTTTGGTAGTTAAGAACTGGAATATATGGGCCTTGGTTTTTTGATCAGGCCGAGCCCAGGCCTGTAAAAAAAATTTGTCTTAGGTCAATGTCTGATCCATAGTTAATAATAAAAAAATTCCCAAGCGTCCAAGCTAATAATAATTTGAAAAATTCCTAAGCCCAGCTCAATATAATTTATAAAAATATTTTTCAGGCCCAGCTCAATATAATTTATAAAAATATTTTACAAAGCTCAGCCCGACCCATTATAATTTTAAAAATTTTTTCACAAATCTGGCCAACCGATAATTATTTTGAAATTTTTTCCCAAGCCTGGAGCTTCCAATTTTTATCAAAATATAGTTTCATATATAAGAAGAATTGTATTACAAAATTAATATAGAAGGGGGCTGAGTTGGAAAGAATGTTTGCCTATGTAATGTTAAGTCTGGGGATCGCGTTGATGTAGAGGTAAGTCTCCTTCGATTATTAAGATTGATATGATAGGAAAGTCGATAGAAAAAATAACATTAAGATTATACAACGTTCATTTCTTGATTACGGAGATTATATATATATAGGATTATACTAGTTGAAAATTTATAAAGGCTAAACTTTGTTAATATCATTTGGTCTTTTATTACAGGGTTTCCCATTTAGAAAAGGCCCAATAGAAAAGTCTTAATCGAGAAGAAAAAGACTTGATGAAGATATAAAAGAATTAAAAGCTTAAAAGGTTCTGTCTAAAAGGGAAAACGATCAGTCAAAGAAGGAAAAGGTGCCGTTCCAAAAAACGGAAAAGTATCAAATAAAAAAGAAAGGCACGATCGGAAAAAGTGGCACTAAAAATAAGATATTTTTAAAAATGGTGCCTGTTATAAAAATATAATATATATTCATATCAGTAAATATTCAATTAAAGTAACCAATGACCGGAAAATTTTTTTTTTATTATTTAATAAAAACCTGAATTATTGCGCTTATATTTTTATTTTCAACATTATACTACTAAATACTTTTATTTTAGTGGTTTATCATATATTAATGATTTATTAGTATAGTACGAATGTAATTCCAGATGAGGGGAAAAAGGGGAAAAAATTCCACGCCTTTGCTGGTTAAGCCAGATATGTTTGAGAAAATACCTAATTTATTTTTGGTGTTGATGTACAAAAATAATACAACTAATGTTTTCATCTAATTCTCAAAGAATTGCGGTCTAATAACTCAAATATCTTGGAGACATATCCAGATAATGGGGTAAATAGTCATATATACACGCCTTTAGTGGTTTAGCCAATGAGTATGAATTAAATAAATAATTCAGGTGATATTGTATAAAATAGCGCGACAAATATTTTGCAATTAATTCTAAATGAATTACGAAATAATATATCAATTATTAGGGACGAATTTCCCAATACGTTGAATAATAATAATATATCTC